TCTTCATTCAAACCTTTCTTGGTGCAGAAAACACACTAATTTCTGCAAATTCATTTTCATTCTTCAAATATTTTTGTGTGTGCGCGTGTAATGTGTCTTTTTTTGTTGCATTACTGCTCTGCAGTTTCTGAAATGCAGGCTTCACCGAACGTCTCAGGCTGTCTTTCTGTTCTCAGGCATGTACTGCCTCTCAAATTTCAATTAATATCAGTTACTGTATTACTATCTTGTCATTTTTTGCACCCTTTTGCAAAAAGGGTTTTTTGATTACTGTGCACAGTGAGAGTAACAGTTTACGTCAGTTGTATGCTCATCTGCATTTCAGTTAAATTCCCCTCTTACAATATACTTTATCAGTCGTAGTTCACCGTCCAGTTCTTCAACTATGCGGTTGACAACTTTTCCAGTTGCTCTGACCAGCGCTGCATTGCTTGAAGGTCACTCTGCTGGTGATCCTAACATTCGTTCGTCCCCCAAAAATTTTTATAACTTGTTAGGATGTAACTGAGACAAAATCGTGACTGAATTTTCTCCACTAAACATCGGACTTCTGCAAGCTATAGCACGCAAGATGCTTTAGGCCACGTGGAAATGACGCGCGTAGTGAAGTACCATAGGTGTGAATGTATGGAGTAGCACATCTTTGACAGGGCGATGAGATGACGCAGGTCCAAATGCAGTGGTCTAAAGATTTTCAAATTTCAGTAGTCCTCTTCAAATTTCTATTTCTTCTCCCAAAATTTGATCCTCTTCCCCTACAAGTGCCTGATTTAACGGCTTCTGTTTCTCGAATAAATCGACTTTAGTAGCAGATCAAGGCGCGAAAGACTGGCACAACTGTGGCTCCTGCTTATTATTTTGTGTTTTTTTTTTTTTTTTTGTATATATAGGTACTCAGTTATTTGTTTATTTGTTTTTATTTAGTCCAATTATTCACGCATACCAAAATTAGCAAAACCTCGTTTTTTGTTTATCAATGTGTGATTTGTTCTAATTTACCTCAATCACCGCTTATTTTCCATTTTTTTCACTCAAAATCAACGGTTAGGCTATAGTTACTGCCATTTTCTGTCTTCTGTTGCATGCTGTCGTACTGAACATTGAGAATTCGACTTCCGCAGCAGAACTTCGTTCGTACATTTCGGTGATGCATTGGTATTGGTGATTGTCAAAGAAGCAAACTTGCCATTAGCTTGCTTCTAGGCGACCCTCAAAAGAAGGAGCCACCAGCAGCTCTGGGAGCGGACGCGTGCTGATAGCTCCGAATACCATTCAAGCTAACTCCGAGTGCCTTCGCCTTTCGTTGAGAACAAATACGCAGAAAATCTTGAGTTTTGACTGTCGTTTCAGCCCGTAACTCAATGCGGTAACCTCACTGTGACCAACTGCATCCGTTTCCCTACTGGTTCTTTGACTTTCGTTTACCACTGGTAACTTGACATGTTTCGGATTATCCATGTTGAACAGGAAGAAGTCAGAGACAAAGTAACTATGGTCTAACGTTGCATGACTCTGTCATTTTTTTCTGTTAAAAAATGTACATGCAAAAAAGCGAATTCTGTCTACCTCTCAAAAAAAAAATTCCAAAACCCATGTTTTTCACAATACTCATTCCATTTTGTTTTTTTTTTTCTTTTCTTCATTGAAGTGATCATTTTTGTATTTCTCGATTGTTATTGAATTCGAATAGAAGCAGATTTTTAAACAGATATGATATTTCTTCTATTTTTAATGACATTCGAGAAATGTGAAATGTTTTGTTGTTGATTGTTTCTTTGAAAAAAATTCCATTACAATGAAGAGTTTTTTTAGTAAATAATATATATATATTGGTTAATGGATGTCCCGAAAACTTCTTTGAGAGCCAGTGATTTAATTTGGAATTAAAGACAGGACCAAAAAGAATCGTTGGATTTCTTAGATTCAGACCAAGAATACCAAGTCGTCCAGACACTGGGAGCATTCTATGTTGGAGTAAAACATTTTTCGGAAGCTCAATTTTTGATCGGATGTCCCGGGAACAAAGTCAGTTTGAAACTACTCACTCAGTAGATACGCATGTGTCGTTTGTTACATCTTCCTGAAAAAAAAAGAGTAACCTAAATTTGGCTCAGAAAGCCCTCTTTTCAGGGCCGCTCAGAAGTCTGTTACTTTTCCGTCCCTCCAACAAATCAGTTATTCATTTTATTCCCCCTGTACTACCGCACTTTTGTTCATAATTTTCCATTTTTTTTTCCTGGATTTCTTGCTTTCTGTGTAATACGTGGTGTAATACGGTTACCTTATTCAATCAACTCAGGGAATTGTATCGTCGATAACCGATATTGCCTCGTATTCATATTATTTCCTGTTCTTCGCATTGTACTGGATTTGTCACACGTAGTGGATACAAGCACACCCAGCAGGAAAAAAAAAGTTATTCTCATCAGTAGTTGTTGCATCAATTCGGGCAGTGATAAGAATGATAAATTTGCGTCAGATTTTCGCTTTCCTTGCTAGCCTGTTCTAACTCTTAGGTTATTGGTTCTCACCATACTTCGCTGTCCTAGAATTCTAAATTATTGCCCTGTACCAGTGATTGTGGATAACTATCGTTTGCTGAGCGCTAGTATCAGACAGAGAGCACGTTTAACTTATGTAACACGATTAGAAAAAAACTTTTTTAAGGATTTAATAGAAAACACTGAGAGAGCAAATAATGCGTGGTTCAAAGCTAATTAAGGGCCTATCCTGCTCGAAAATGAAGGATCTGTGCTGAATCCTTTGAACTTCTTCATACTTGGATTGCTTCCTTCAAAACACAAAAGAAGGTTTATTTTGTGAAAAAAATTCTTGAAAGAGTTTATAGCGGGGTGCGAAACAATCCCCTGTATCCAGACAGTGTTGAAAAGATCCACATCCATTGCTTTCGCCTTCAGCGTTCATTTCTCTCATATCAAGCTCAGGTCATCTTTTATGCATGTTACATTTGTTTGCACTCACCAATTCAAACATATATATGTGTTAAGACTACTATTACCACTACTACTACAACTATTAATATCCCAATTACATTCGCCTCGAT